GTTTTTTAATGCTGCACATACTGTAGATTATGTTTTCATGAATGAAATAACCAAAAATATGGATAAAGATATCTTTAAATCTACATTGACAAGGCAAAATACCTATTTGAGATATCTCTAATTCTGACTAGAATAAATGACTTTGTACAAGAAACTGACCTGATAGGGACAAGGGATGTGGTAGTCTCTGCACTTCTCCTGTACCCAGGTGGTTTCCCAGATGGTTCGGTAACTGCTCTCATAAAGGTAGCAGGCTAATACGATCAGCAGAGGAACCAGGTAGAGCACCGAAAAAATGCCAATGCGAATCATGAATTTTACAAGTTTCTCCTGGTTCTCCTTCTCCAGAGGGATCTCCATGCGAACACGATTGAGTGCAGCAATGCCTGCCAGTAAGAGCACAACACCCACCTGGAAATACAAAAAAAGAATTGGAGTCAATATTTCTGTAAGATTTAAGAAGACAAAAGACGCTGTGATAGTCAGGGTGTGTCCAAATACTCTTGTCTATACAATGTGGTAAGAGTTTAAAAAAAAAAAACTGATATGATGTGAGGCACCATCAGATACGAGTCATATTTTTCATGCAAAATGTTCTGATGGGAGAAAGGGAAGACACAAATTTTATCCTAGAGGGCTTCTACTATAGAAGTTTGGAATGTACAGGCAGATCACATGGATATCTGATTACTCAATTACCTGATAAATTAATAAAGAGAGCATGCAGCAGAGGTCGTGTTAATATATACGGAATATTTTCCGTGTTTGACCGTTTTTGTTTTTTGTTTTTTTTTTTACATGGTGACGGAAAATTCTGAAGGCCGTCCGTCATTTTGACAGATCGCAATTAATAACCCTGACCTCTTAAGTCTGGAAGACTTAATAAATAAGTCAGGTACGGTGGAGAAAAAAAATTCAACGAGGCTTCACAAGATGGAAAGCTCTGTGGAATCACACGGAGACATTTTCAGCTTTACGCACAGAGTAGGTCTACATCATGGAGGTGTCTTATTTAATCTAAAATAAAAGATTCCCATATGATCATCATCTCAGATCAAGATACCAATGAGAATGCATCTCCAGGAGCTGACAGAGCATTGAAGAGATATGGACAGGAGGCTTTGGAGTGCATCTGTGAGGTGCAGCTGAACCAGTGGAGCACATGCTGCGTGATTTCCTAAAAAGCCACAGTTTGTGGGATTTGGAAATAAAAGTCTTGCTCACTTCTGACCACTTTGACTGGAGAAATGTTTTCTGATTTTAAAACTTTGGCTGAACTGGACCTTGTTATTCCAACAGTGTTGCAGCAGAGTGCAAATTTAATCTTTAGAACCACTGGTGCCGGCTGATGTATGGCTACGTTCACACTGCAGGTAAATCCGACCCAAATCCGATTTTTTTGCCCCATCTGTCTCATATCTGATTTCTTTTATGACAGTCTGAATGCAACAAATACGATTTTTTCAAATCCGACCCAGGCCGTTTCAGTATGTGGTTTTAAATCGGATGCATATCTGATGTTTTCAAAGCGACTGCAGTGCTCATGTCACATTCATCTGACTTTTTCATCAGGAGGGGCTGAAGGATCGATAAGACACTAACCTCAAGTCTCGCTGTTTAAATCTGTAGCTCCATGTGTTTACAGCTCCAAAACACAAGTCCAGTTCCTTCGTATTTTTACTTTTAATTTTCCATGAAGATAGTATGATAATAATGATGTCCAGCCTGGGTCGCAGAGCGTATAAATCCTAAAGTTAATCGGTTGATACTTTTTTCCCAGCTCGTTCGTTCAACAATAAAAAGCTTCACATAAGCATCCCGATCAGAGGCAGGTTCAGATATAAACACTGAACTAAACAAACATTTCAGATAATTATTTAATTGGCTCTGATTAAACAACAACTTCAGAGTCGATGTGCAAAAAGTAGCATCCATGCATGGCTAGCTCTGTAAACAAACAAGCCGGCTGATGAGACGGGACGTCTTTTACTGCGCATGCGTGTCACATCATTGCACACATACAGTGTAGTTTGCCATCATCAGTGTGTGAATGGGTGAATGTCTGTTAGTGTAAAGCACTTTGGGGTCCGGAGGGACTTGAAAAGCGCTCTATAAGTTCAGTCTATTCACCATTTACCATTGCTGTGTAGYGTTCACACAGGAGTCTGATGCAGGTCACATTTAAAATGTAATGTGAACGTTCACACCAAAAGATCGGATTTTTTTTTAAAAATCGGAATTGAGCATTAAGACCTGCAGTGTGAACATAGCCTACGACTGTAGGCTGCTCACTGTGTGTACCTTGAGATTTTCCTTAGAGTAAAATTTTTTTATAATTATTAGAATTTTTATTGCATAAATCAAATCCATATTCTACGGAGCCCGCCGGGGGTCAGTGGTGAAAAAAGAAAAACAGCCGCCAGAAATCCGTGCGCACGGATTGCTAAACTGAGAGCACAGATTAGTAACCTGTGCGCACGGATTACTAAACTGAGAGCACGGATTACTAATCTGTGCGCTCAGCTTCTGCAATCAGTGCGCGCAGATTGTGTCGATAGGTTGGACGCATGGTGTGTGTGGTACAATCTGTTTTGTTGTATCCGGTTTTATTGTGAAAGGCTAAACAGGAAGTGAATACTGTGAGTGCTGGGACAACTTGTTGTTTTGGGGTTAGTTGCTACAAGGTGTCGCTTGAATTCTTGCCTCAAAACACAACTGTATGAAGCCGCATTTGCAAGGTAAATTCAGTGGATCTGTTGTTATATAAACTTAAGGCACTGTCGTGTTCTCATCAACACACTTTTTAGCCACAGAATGTCCCTGAAAAATTCATCAAAATCCGATGTGGTTATTTATTTATTTTCATATTTTCCAGGCAAATGAAAMRGAGGTTAGCCTCCTCCGCCCTCCCGTCCCCCGTTTTGTTGTAAAAGAGAATAAACATCTGAGAAACGCTGGAGAAAACCTCACAGCGGCTTGCTGCAGAGAAATGTCCCCGTGTGGCGAGCTTCATCTACAGAATGACAATCATGGGAGCTGCGGCCCCGCTCTTAATCTGAAATGTTTCAAACTTTATTCAGATGTTTCTGTGGTGTAATAAATGTTTTTGAAAGAGTAATAAACATTTCCTAAAAGTTCAACATAAATC